AAGAAAATGGAAGAACGTTGATGTCAAACGTATATCCATCCTCATTCATCCTGATTTATTTGTAAAATCTACGTCTTTTATTCTCAAAACTACGTGTTGTGGCCTTTCTTTTATGTATTGCGTTATGACGTCTTGTGAAAAATCTGTACGTGATGGAGAAACATTAATGTAATTTTCGGATTCAGCGTACAGGAGTTACTGTAGGATATGTAAAAAATACCAAGACAATAAAATATCGCAGGCCCGTGTTATCTACAGGACGCAGACTCGTAACATATGCATTCCCTTCCCCGCAGTGGGTCATAAGTAAATTGATATACATCCAACTTAAATCAAAGAGCTTCCATATAAAATACTACAGCATTATACACCCTATTCGATTTTATTCTGTGTTTTTCTGGTACTATTTTGAGCCATTAATAAACTCACCGTTTGGTTAAGTTCTTGCTTGTGATTTATGAGCGCACAATGCGTGTGTTTGCATTTTTATACTTCTTTATACTCATCGAATTATGTATATCTTATGTACATACTATACCCTAACTTCATTAAAACTCGTTCAAATATTGTTCTAAAATCGTTTCCACACTGTGCTGCCCGGAGCTTTGTTTAATAGGAAGTACTTTAGATAATAATGCTTAGAGAATGAAGTTAGTTAGATCCAACGTTTCGGCATACCTTTTTTATTGCGAAAACAGTGAATTCGATCATTGTTCCAATCTGGAATTGCTGTAGTTGACACTGCAAGTTTTCAAAACAGGTTTAACAATATCACATCTGTACAAAGTGTTGACATCGCTCACAAAGTAACAGTTAATACACAGTGGAGCACGTGGCAGTTGAAATACAACAATGTAATAATAATAATACTATTCTCCAGAAACCAGTTACCATCTACAAGGAGGGAGGAAGAGGTCACTTGAACCTGACCCCCCCCCCCACGTCTTCAAGACTTAAACCCTGATAATATAGCGATACTACGACGGGCGAGCCCGAAGAGTTAATGTTTATAAACAATAATACATGCAAAATCTGAACATGAATAGTTGCGTCATCTTTGTCAATTAAAATGTTCAACTTATGCGCACGTGGGATAAACGTCTAATTAAAAATAGCCGCCCATAATTTCGAATCACTGAACGAACGAAGACAGCCAGCAACATAAGCCACCTTGTTAGGTTTGTACAGTTCGTTAGACCAAATAACATCATTTGAATGTCAGTTTTAAAAGCAATAGCAGATTTTGTTTTCAGCTTTGCAAATATTTTCAAATGAAGTTTCTTTAAAGAAAGTAAATAAATTCTACCCCACGATTTAAATGTACCGAACCACAGTGATTTCTGATTATAAGATATTATGAAATTTTATGAGCTTTTATTAATAGTCTGTTCTATATTTTAATGTACCAGATATTCCAAGGACAAGTTCTATCAAACTTGTGTGACGTTTCTACATAAAAAGCATCAAATAAATATTGTTTATCATTTCTTTTATTAAAAGTTGATACCGCCGGAAAAAGAATATTGAGTAAGACTTACTGCGGCAGCGCAGCCTATGCTGCTCCTGAAGTTCTCCAAGGCGTACCCTACAATCCCAAGATGTACGACGTATGGAGTCTAGGTTGTATACTCTTCATCATGCTTACTGGAACTATGCCATTTGATGACTCCAACATAAAGAAGATGGTTAAGACCCAACTACATAAACGTGTTAGATTACCTGCTGGTATAGCCTTCATACTCACAAAAGAATGTGAAGAACTGCTCCATCACATATTGCAGCCTGACGTTACGAAACGAGCGACTGTAGATCAGGTGTTACGCCATTCTTGGCTACAGGGTGCTATTTAACAAATTGTAATTTTGTTTCTAACCTACAGCCTCTTTGTCCAACTTATTGTTGCAACTCTTCGGATGTTTTAGCTGAGATTCGGGAAAGATTTATGTTCAAAATTAACAGAGTTGTCTTCCAGACATAATTTTGGGAGACAAATAATCTGAGAGTTCTGAAACTTAGCCTCTTTTAAGTGTTAACGTATTTCTCATAACATTAAATTCCACTAAACATAACTGTAATGTTAGATTAATACAAGTTTCTCATTTGAGGCGTCATTATGTATAAATAACATACAGTTGAAGATTATTTACATAAAAAAACAATCATTACTTAACACTTTACTTGCAGAGTAAGGTTTCTTCAACAGAATATCACCGATTGTCATTTTTTATCTTCAACTACCTATTCCTATATTTGAATAATTATTCAACGATAACTTAATCACTGGAAATTCTGTACGAGGGCGCTATGCAACTTTTATTCCACCCTTTAAATATAATTTACTCGTATATAAACATAAGAAAAAAAAAGCGAGAATATCACAAAACATGGTGTTTCGAGCAAGGCCGAATAAGTTGCTTTATTGTAAATGGTTTTAAATTCATAATAAGAAATATATATAGAACAAATAACATTCGTAATTACGAATTTGTTGGTCTTACAATAAAGATAACTACGGTGGTTAGTGAATTGTGTTAAAATAGATGAGATACGTGCAAAAACCGTTTCTTAAATAATAAAAGGAAAAAAGATCAATTACTCGGATATTAACAAAGTCAGATAATCTTTAACAACACTAACTGTTTCTGCACAGTTAGTTCAGTAAAAATTTACCAACTGAATAAAAAAATGTGTTGATTTTCAAATTAAATTTGGTTCAGGAAAATTAATCCGTATTATACTGGTCAGTTCGAAGAAATTCTGCTTATAAACCTCCACGAGGCCAGAAAATTAAAAATGTTAAAATATCACCAGATTTGTACGGCATGTTTTAAGTGTAAAACTCAGTGGGATGGTACACTTTACTAACATCAGATTTGTACGTTTTTAGTGTAAAACGCAGTGGTATGGTACACTTTACTAACATCAGATTTGTACGTTTTTAGTGTAAAACGTAGAGGGATGGTACACTTTACCAACATCAGCTTTGTACGTTTTTAGTGTAAAACGCAGTGGTATGGTACACTTTACTAACATCAGATTTGAACTTTTTTAGTGTAAAACGTAGAGGGATGGTACGCTTTACTAACATCAGATTTGTACGTTTTTAGTGTAAAACGCAGTGGGATGGTACACTTTACTAACATCAGATTTGTACGTTTTTAGTGTAAAACGTAGAGGGATGGTACACTTTACCAACATCAGCTTTGTACGTATTTAGTGTAAAACGTAGAGGGATGGTACACTTTACTAACACCAGATTTGTACGTTTTTAGTGTAAAACGCAGTGGGATGGTACACTTTACTAACATCAGATTTGTACGTTTTTAGTGTAAAACGTAGTGGGATGGTACACTTTCTTAAAAATCAAGTTTGGTTTATTCAGGAGGAGGGGGGGTATTGTTGGTCTGGGAATGACTGCATGTACCACATATATTGTGTAATGTCAAAAGTAATTCTCTTAAAACTTATTATGTCTTTAACGGATTTACATTATAACTACTCTCATGTAAGGGAGAAATATCCCACTAGAAAAAAGATTATACTGTTATCATTACCAAATGTGACAGAGCCTATTGTTAGAGGCTTATTTTAACATGATGTAAGAAAGATTTACCTAGAGAGATGATACTTCTCAATACTTGTTTATTGGATAAACAGAAAAAAACAACGTAAAGAGATCAAGAAGATTGAGTGCATCAAACTTTTATTGATACAATACCCAAATTTGGTTGGTCGGTATATGTGGAGAAAGAGTTGTGACTTTAGCTTTTCAGTTCAAGGCTTGCAAGTTAAAGAATATAAATGTATGCATTACTACATATCTTTGTAAAATTCAACAAGTAAGATTTATACATTTCAGTTTCTGAGTGAGCATGTTTATGCTTTGTAATTTAGAAAATGTAATGGCTGAAAATAGAAGATTATTACTGCTGAATTTGGATAAAATTTTCATAAAATGACTTTGAGAAAGGCCTGATTGCTTCCAGTCATAGAGAAAATGAGCCAATTTTTGGAGCCAGTTATCCTTTTTTGTACTCAAAGTTCAAATGCAATATACCTATCTCAGAGTAAAAGCATAAGAAACTAGAATATTAATAGTTCAAAGAATAAATTACACATTAAACACTAGTATATTGAGACCTACAACTGAAAATTATGCAAGTGATATTGAAGAAAAACATAATATTTCTCTACATGTTTGAAAAAATTCTTGGAACTGACATTTTATATTTTAATTGCTGGTAAGTAACAGTAAATGTTTATTAATAAATACCAGTATTCTTTTGTCAGTTTCAGAAGTACTGATGCCATGTAAATGTGGTAAAGCATTATCTAAAATTCTGACAGTACACAAACGTTGTAATAATCTGATCTTATTATACCACTAATTAAAATTAAATGTTAATCAATATGAATAGTATCTGATATAGATTACTACAGATTTGATTTTTACTTTTTGGCAAAAGATATCTTATGGAACTGTCAGTGTATATATGATATATCTTTGTCAAAATACCTACTGTAATCTTAGATGTTTTAACATTAAATATTCTTCACTTCATTCTTCCTGATCACAATCTTTTATTTCAACCTTTTTTTTTTTACCAAATAACTAAACCTAAGATATATATTTCATGCCAGTTTCTTTGGATTTGGTGAGCTGTTCATCTAAATCATATCTTATACCTCAGTCACAAGGAATATCTAAAAATCATGATTTTCATTCTTTATCCTTGTTCTGATTTTGGCTCTTTTCTAATTGACTGATCTCATCTTTAAACTTGGAGATGGTTTCTCGAGCAATTTTCAGTTTTTCCTTCATGTCATTAATTTCTACACGAATTTTGTTCTTGGCAGACAAGATGGCACTTAAACTTTTCTCTTTCTTCTCTTCAACTAAAATTAAACAAAAAATGGGCAAAGTTAAATTTGTTAACAACAGTTCAGTCACTAAAACTTTAATACTGGAAGGGAAAGCAAAACTTAAACTATCTGATTTTTTCAAAACTATTTGTAATGTATGATTTGTATTGAAAAAATAAATTTATTACTTTGAAAAAAGAAAAAAGAAGCCAACTACACAATTAACAAACAAACACAAAATGTACCTATTATAATTACATGTTTAGGCAAGGTAATGAACCAGAAACATAACAAAACTAGCATCATTACTAAACCATTTGTGACAATGTAATGACATTCAATACCAACTTCAAGTATTGTTTTAAAAGCTGAATTTTCTCCTCTCTCTGATAACTTGTTTCTTGTGTCCCTCTTTGTTGTAATTTCTCTGTTGAAGAAGTAAATGTTGCAGTAGTGGTGCACTTGTTTGTTGTCCAGCTGATAAAATGTTATACTTTTGCTACTTTTGTTTTCTTCAATACATTGATCTGAAATTTTATACAGATGGTCAGTAAGACAGTAATAAGAGTATATTTAAAATCTTGGTTAACAGCCCCTGTGGTGGCTCAGTTGTAAATCTGAGGGTTTATAATGCTAAAAATTGGGTTTTGATACTTATGATGGGCACGGCACAAATAGCACATTGTGTGGCCTTATGCTTAACAACAAGCAAAGCAATACTAAAAGTAAACTTAGAATCTTGGTTATTATATCTTCTTATATATTTTTCTATTCTTACTGAAAGTAAATTGAGAATCCCAGTTTATATGTTGTTTTTTTCTACTCATCTTACTGAAAGTAAATTGAGAATCCCAGTTTATATGTTGTTTTTTTCTACTAATCTTACTGAAAGTAAATTTAGAATCCTTGTTAATGTCTACTTTTTTTTTTCCACTCTTCTTACTAAAAGTAAATTTAAAATCTTTGTTAATATATCTTATGTTTTTCTTGGTAATTGTTGTCAAGTAATTTGGAGCAGCTCATTTTCTTTACAAATCAATCACCTGCATGTCTGATCACAAGCCTCTACTCACATCATAAGATAAAAATATTTTGTTTATTAGCTTAAACAGATAGGAACGTCTTATGAAGAATATTGAGAAACAGAATACAACACTTTGTTACTGCTATATGCTACACCTCTATTTCTTAAACAGACACAGCAGTTCACAAAGACATCTAAAACATCAACACTACTTGACTTAAATGACAAAAATTATACAAGTTGCTTACTCACAATCAGTTTCATGTTTATATGGTCCCAGTGTTAATTGTCTTGTACTGGTTAGTAACTGTTGCATCATGGCTGAAGGATCCTGAAATATCTTTTAAAAATAAAATACAATTTTAACACTACTTTGAATGTAAATTTTTAAAGATTAAAATCATGTATAACAGGATTACTTATCTAATGTGCTAGAACAGTAAGTGTATATCTTATTTATGAGCATTTTGCAAGATTTGATTTAAAATAACCTGGGAGAAAAAAAAATAACTGGTATGTTCATTACGTTTATACAGAAATAAACTTTACTGCTTAAATCGGCACAGCAATTCTTAAATCTTATTATAACTAATGGAACATTCACACAAATATCAAAGAGCTATGGTCAATCATGAAAAACAAGTGCACACTTAGACCAACAGCAAGGTATTAGCTTCTGAATTAGACATGTCTCTAAGCACTGAGTTTTCAATATAATCATTAATTCTTAAATTTACCAGAAACATGGCAATAAAAATTGTAGTAAAGATTATCACATTACTATTTTCATTTTAATACAGAAATTCTTACAAAGTTTGTTCGTACAACATTTAAATAATTATTTTACAGTTTTAGAGCTGTGTATCACTTGATCTGAAATTAATATTGAAAAGATTTCTCATGGCTTAAAATGCTTTTTCTTATTAGGTAATATGATGTTTCATATCTCAGTCTAAATATTTCTAATAGGAATGGTTAAATTATTTCTTAACCACAGATGCTATTAATATAAACTGCCTTAAGATTCGATGTAAATTATGTAGTAACTACTAAAAAAATCCTGTTACTTTATGTAACAGTAACAGAAATGTTCAGTTAATCTGTTAATAGTTTTAAAAGGAGTACTTACAAGTTCATCATAAAACTCAGACACCAAGTGTTTCTTTCCCAACATGATATTTGTTTCACTTTGAAAAAGTTTCAATATATGATACACTGTGACCTAAAAATAATACAAGTTTCAATATATGATACACTGTGACCTAAAAATAATACAAGTTTCAACTATATGATACCTATGACCTAAAAATAATACAAGTTTCAATATATGATACACCATGACCTAAAAATAATACAAGTTTCAATATATGATACACCGTGACCTAAAAATAATACAAGTTTCAACATATGATACATCGTGACCTAAAAATAATACAAGTTTCAATATATGATACACCATGACCTAAAAATAATACAAGTTTCAATATATGATACACCGTGACCTAAAAATAATACAAGTTTCAATATATGATACACCGTGACCTAAAAATAATACAAGTTTCAATATATGATACACCGTGACCTAAAAATAATAAAATTCAATTGAGTTGTGAAATATAATCTAAAAAAACAAAATCCATGTAAAAGTGTCTATTATCATTATTACTGGAAGATACCCTGATATACTGCAGGAACTTAGAGAGTTCAGACAGCTTTACTGTTACTATAACATAATAGCAACATTTTGACTACTTAGATAACTAAAATAATCAATAGTAATAATAATAATAAGAAGAAAACCCTGATTTTGATTTGATGATCATTTTCATAACAATTAATTTAATTGTAATTTTGATTAATCAATTACTTTACATGACACTAATCAATATAATTGCTGTTCATAGGTAATCGATTAAATCTCCTAGGTCTATTTATTACTACTAATTTTGATTGAACAACAACAAAACATTTTATAATACTTAAAATGAAATATACACATCATTAAATATATAATAAGTAACAGGCTATCAGTTTATTCATACAAGGCAAATCTAACTCTCAGTCTGTTATTTGATCACATTAAAGGTAACATGAATTTGAGATTTCATACCACTTTTTGTATAAAGAATAATGTTTTGAATGCGAAATTATTTTGCTATAAGAAGAAAACAATACTCACAGGTCTTTCATTTGGATCATGAAAATATATTTTGATGACAATTTCAAATTCTCCCCACCCAGTTTCAGTGACTTCATAAGGTGGTTTAGTTACCACTGTGGAGTGAAAAATGTTGGATTAGCATAAAAAAATATAACTTACCTAATACAGAAAATAAAAATTGTATTTTACTTTTCTCACCTATCATGTATACATCATATGTTTAAAAAACAGTCCTATTTTCATGACATTATATTCAAGATTTTGTTTACTCCTAAAAAAACTTGCTGGTTAGTCTTTTCAAGTTCCTTTTAAACTAAAACACTATGTTAATTATCTAAAACTGTCCAAGTTGGTCTGCCAGGACTTTACACTGTAATATCAGTAAAATAAGCTCAGGTGCACAATATATATTTTGTACATTTTTAGCCCTCGATGTACATTTCATTAATAAATTTTGTTTAGTACAAAAACAAAAGGAAATAGCTATGAATGTTCACAGGTTAACCTAAAATCAAAACACATTTCAATTGCAAAGTATATAAGATGTAAAACTACTTTTTATTTCTTTTGCCTGTCTTCTTAAAACTATTTAACTGGATGACATTTTTTTTATTTGTACAGTTTTCATTTGTTGATCCTTATTTTCCTTTAATATAAAGTTTAATTGTATATTTCTGCGATGCAAATTTATAATTTAATTTTGATTGATTGACAAAGCCATACTTTTTAATGCTTCATCTGACTCTGTGGCATATACTTATCTTTTTTTTACCCCCTATATTCCTACTCAAATGTATCTGCCTTGGCAATGGATATATTGCATCGTAGGGAAATCCCAAAATTTTCTAGTGAATATATTATATATATATATATATATATATACTGATTATCTCATATCTTCAGCAGGATAACATGCTTTCACAGGAGTTTTTGGATAAGTTCTGGAGATGCTCTGACATTCATCATTTCATTTCTGCAGTTAAGTATTGCTGTTTAGTCATGATAAACTTGGGAAAACAAAAAATAACAGGATCAACTATGCTTTCACTTATATAAGAGGTTTCCCTCTCTCAAATATCAAAGTACTGAATGTTTGAGAAGCCTCCATATTTATCCCAAACAAGTTTAATACTGATTGACTGTAAAATGTGCATTAGATGGATGTATGTCAAGATGAATAATTCATATAACTGTGTGCAACAGGCATAAAAAAATGCCTTGCAAGCGATTTCCGAATTCTACTCAAAGAAGAATAAATATGACATCACAAAAAAAAGGATTATACCATGAAATCATAAACAAGTTCTTTTTGTGGCTTTGAAATTATGTTGTGAAAATCAAAACACTATAGCAAAATTACAAAGAAAAATCCACACAGAGAATACACTTCTTCTGCAGTGAGGAGGTTAAAAATACATGTCTTAGCAACAAAAAATAACATAATAGCATTAAAAGGTTTTACTAATGCTATTTCTTACAGTATACTTATCTTTTTGAGTCTTCAGTAAAAAAATTCATATAATTTATACAAACTAAAACTGCTTATTTTGGAAATTTCTAGAAACACTTTTACACTTTGCAATTATACAGTATTGTTTACTTCAGTACTAACTTTATATGCTTACACTGTCTTTGTTTCGTGGTTTAATATTTTATCCAACACAGCCTTTACCACAGATATCCTGAATAACATAAATGCTTGAGCTCAGACCAGATCTTGAGAACATGCTAAAAAATTACAGCAGTATGTATTGATTTTCTATACTTCTACTATTATTTCTGTATTACTTTTATGAATCCTGGATTGGATATTGTATACAAGCTTTTTTTTTTCTTCACAGAATTTTATTTTTTTTCTGATATTCAGAGTTAGACAGACATGCCTCTAAGCGAATTAAAAAATACCTTAGTTCAACTACAAAATTTCATAAGCCTATACCTGTGACCTGTATCTCTCTTTTTGTACACAAAGCAGACCCCTTTTAAATGACTTTAAAATAAACTATATGATCTAATATGCAGCATCTATGGAAAATATGTTCTGCCTACCTCTGTTTTGGTTTGCATAACTTTCATGAAGCTTAAAGTGGACTTTCTTCACATATATAGACATGTCCTAAAAATAGAATAATAAGTAGGTGAATCCTTCAATAAAGATAAAATGGTAAAATGAGAGGTTATTTTAAAATCATAAATAAAGCCTAGAGTTAATCTTTACACCATTATAATGGAACATAACAAAATTAAAAAAACCAATGGATGTTAAAATAAATTATTTACTGTAAACATTTTATTATCTGTTCTCTGTATAGCCTTATTACAAAACATAACAAAATGAATAAACTAGAACCCAATTATGCTAAAAATAAAGCAAAGTAAAAAAAAACAAATATTAACTGTATAAACTTGGTTATTTGTTCTCTACAGAAAAATCATTATCTGGAATTTTGTTTTGTTTTATAGAGTTGGGAGATAAGTTTTTCCATAAATTGAAACTTCTTATAGTTATTATGGTAGTCTGTAGGAATATTCCAAATTAAGTTTTTACAAACTATATTACTAATAACTTTGAAAACAAACAGACAATTAAGACGTTACCTTAGACTTTTTTGCTATAATAGTAAGTTAAAATTTTTGTTTTCGTCGTTACTTAACTGCATAAAAACATTTATTAATGTGACATTTTGTATTGATAATAATACAAAGACAAGACAAACATCATTCTAATTGGATAACAAAACACAAAAATATATCTTTAAAGGTACACGTACATAAAAGAGTCAGCTACATCTACCTATGAAGAATCTTTTAATGCATTCTTATGTACCCAAATTCACACTTATGTATTAAGCGAATAAGAGTTTTAAAAAATGAACAAACTCACACTGTAACCAAAATTATGTGATAGGTTAAAACTGATTATTATTATTTAAATTGTTCATTTAAAATCATCACCAACAGTAGTAAAACTGGATCTATTAAGATAGAAGTAAATCTTTAAGAATAATGATACTAAGTTATTTTAAAGAGATACATTTCTTCAAAGTAGGTAGCTACAGTTCAAACCATAAAGTGGGTTCATTACTTATGATGAAAATAAACAAGTAGGTTTTTTCACTAGTTTGCTATGTGCTAAAGGTTTGTTTTTTGTTTGCTTGTTTTGAATTTCGTGCAAAGCTATACGAGGGCTATCTGCACTAGCCGTCCCTAATTTAGCAGTGTAAGACTAGAGGGAA